CAAAAAATGTTTTCTGAGAATGTTCAATCATTATGAAGTAAGACCAAAAATATACGAATCGATTGTAGTTTTTTCACGTGTATAGCACTGAATCCCAATATTNTTATATATATATATATATATGTGTGTGTGTATAAAATAAATTGGTATAAATGAACAGGAATACTTCATGACAGCATAAACAATTCACAACTTGCATCTGAATAATTCATAATAAATATATCCGCTACTACTTAGAATATCTGTAAAGCGAACTTGCATGCGTGAGGTGTTTGGGCATGTGTAAAACGTATCGTTCAATAATGAAAATTCCTACTTGTAGGACTGATACATTATTTATCTGTGATATGCGGATAAAAGTGTAAACTAGGTTTTAACGTGCAGCAGAAAGGTTTGATAGAAAAGTGAATTAACTTGAATAATGCTGTCGAATTATTCTGATTTTCTGACATATTATACATTTATAAGCACAGTATTTCCATCGAAAAACAGTGCAAAATACATGTTTTAAACAAACGTTGTTTTTTATTCACACAGTGGCTATTTATTTCTCATTTTTTTATATTTTCTTTCTGACTGTTTCGTGATATTATTCAATATAAATTGTTTCACTTTTAATTTACGCGGCGCGAGTAAAATAGATTTAGACCTGAGGAAATACACTTTTAAGTCGTTCTCTAACGATTCAACTTGCCGTTACACTTTTACGATTCCTACTCGCTAATCGCTCTCCCCAGTACCATTATATTATTATAATGGTTGTTGGCAAAAATACTTTTCCCTTTATGTCGTGTTGGTCCCTTTTTCTTCCTTCTCTCATACTCGGAACTGTACCTAAGGGAAATCAAAACTCCTTCCTGACGGAAACAAAACGTACAAGTTTTAACGAATAGGAATACTATTTGTTGTTATCAAACCACAACCACAAGTGTACATTTTTCTTAATAGTTATTGATGTTTCTACTCAAACGTATAATCAATTAAAATTTAAATAAATTTGCTTCAATCGAAAAAAAATAATTACATTACAAATATATAAAGGTCCAAAATTATAAATAAAAACTAATTGGTTTTAAAGTATTCCATTTATTTTAGTTGTATTTTCTTTGTAAAAAATAATAATAATAATTTTTACATTATTGCTATTTTTATTTAAATATCTAGTTCGCTTTTAAAAAGTATAGCTCATTTTTGTTTTATGAAATTTTAGAAGATCAACGGTGATTCCGACTAGATTTCCGCCGATAGGAAGTCTTCCGGTGAATAGAAATTAAGCATATAAAATATATCGTAATCTTGAGGTCCAATGATACTCACTAAATAATGGTCCTTTAATTGAAGACTTAGTTGGTCAAATAAAAATTGAATAAGTATAGCTAGATTTTATAATTACTAGAGACTAAATCTCCCATAAGAAATCTACAGAAATTAATGTGAAGGAACATGTTAAAACTAACTTCCACATAACCAAAATTTTTACAGATTTTGGATGCTTTGGTAAATAATTAAATAAGATCAACATAGCACTCAATGTAAGATACAGCGATTGTAAAGTACTAGTAAACAACGTTACACACATGTTATCAGTTTCACAAATAATTTGTGAAATTTTTAATACAAAAAATGCCTTACTAAATTAATTATCCATAAACATGTATTTAAAAAAAATAAATGTTAAAAATAATAATTGTATTTTTAATACACAATTAAAATTTAAAAAAATAACAAAAAACCCATTTTGATAGTTTTTATTGGGTGCCGTAAAATAGCTAGAAAATTTAAAATGTACTTGTGACACTTTTCAAAGCAAAATTCAACGGTTTTAACGAAAAAGGAAGCTTAACATCTTTGGCACGAGAGAAAAACTAAAAATTAGGTAAAGAATAAATATTTATAAAATGTGTCATGTCGTTTATTTTAAAAACATGTGGAGTTGTTTAACAATATAATTTTGAAGTATCCTGTGCAAAATAAATGTTTGTGCCCATCATTTTTATTTAAATTTGTCACTGAATAACAGAGTTACATGAATCAATATTTATTACACATATTATTCTAATTCAAGAATAAATTTTTTCTTTATAATTTTAAAAGTAATACTATCTTTTAATACTAAATTGCAAAGTGAAAAATAAACATTTAAATGTTGTTTTCAGTTGTAGGTGGTTTCTTTGTTTCTTAAAATTAGTAGTTTGTTTAAAAGTTATACATATTTAGAGAATTGTAAAATTTTAATTTTTTCAACCCTATATTCACATTTTAGTTTTGATGCGAAGCTGCGAAGGTATTGGTTTTACTATGATGTGTTTTTTTTTTTGTGTGTCTGTTATCACTTTTTCTCAGCGCTCACCGAACCGATTTCTTTCAACGATACGTCAAAAGATCGCAAATCGTATCTAATCGAAGACATTACCCTCAAATATTGAAAAAATTTCTCTCGTTCCCCGTAAATGGGGGAAACCTCCAAAAAAATTACAAATTTAAAAATCGCTAATTTTCAAAAATTTTTCAATTTTTTTTACTTAAAATTGTTATAACTTTTTTAAAAATAACCAAATCAATATAATTTTTTTTATATGGATGCACTATATCATTAATTTTCATTTTCATTTGGTATATTTTTTTTATAAATCTGACCCTTTACCTGCCTACAGGGGGCATTCAAAATGACAACTATTTCACAAAAAATTTACTTTTTCAACTTAATATTTGAAAGTGTTCCGGAAAGTCTGACACTTTTATATATATCTTAAATTAAGGCAAATATAATACACTTTATTATGAAAAAAAAAAAAATTTCAGACTTTAATTTGTCTTCACGGTGAAAATGGCTACCGAATGCTATTTTTGTGTGAAAATTCTCGATTTTATTTTTTACCTTTTTAACTTTAAAATGCTATAACTTATTGAAAAGTGTATGGATCAACACGATTTTTTTATCAGAAATAATATTTATATCCCTTTTTCATTCGTCATACTTTATCTTAATCAGGATATAAATAAGGAAATAGCAAACACTATCTAAAGATTTGCATTGAAGCGTTTTTTTTTTATAGTGATTTTAATCACTGTCAGATATCATTATACTTGATCCACGTCACCACTGTGCCGCGACCCCTCTGTTCTGTGTATTTTTAATCTGTGTATAACAATGTTTGAAGATATTATATAGAATTCAAAATAAATATAAATGTTTTTTCTAAAGTTTCACATCAGGTAATTACAGATAAAACGAATATAATAAAAGTATAATAAAACTAAAAAATATTTTTCAAAATAATATGAACTAGAAAATACAATACAGATTTGTGCGGACTATTTGGTTATTGTTGAAAAAACCTGTTTTATTAATTATCAATTGTTGATAACCAATCAATTCACTTATTAAATTATTGAAAATATAACAATAATTTATCTTGTTTATGCTAATGTTTAAATAATGAATAACGAATAATTTTTTTTCTAAATTTTATCCATTCTTAAAAAATATTTATTATAAAAACAACTATACTGACAATGTAACTTTTAGAAGTGGCGTATTTAGAGGGGAGGCACAGGGCACGTGGCCCCCCTTGACTGAGTCATGTAAATATGTTATCAAGTAATGTAATGATGTATAATATCATTAGAAAAAGTGATTTTTTGGTTATCGATTACAACATGGGTTTATGAAATGTTAGTCGATATAGTTGTTTTGTGGAGCAAAATTTGACGCCCACACAGTTGTTCCGTTAATATTATCGCCTATTTTTGCAGTGTTTATTACGTAGAGATAAACAATATTTAGAAAAAAAATATTTTTATTAATAAAAATGGATTCAAAACAAATAACAGATTTTTTTTCAATAAAATCTAAAATATGTGTTTAATATATGTTGACAAAAGTTATGAACAAAAAAAAAAGTCGTTTTATGGTATCTTATTCATGAACATTTTTGTGCCCCTGTCCAGTAGCATTCATTAAATGTACTTTACACACATTTAAATAGAAAAAAACTATCTATTAACTTTTTATAGAAATTAATATGAAAAGTTGATGGAGCACATTCGAAATATTCGAAACCAAGTAACCGTTTAAATTAAAAGGATAACAAGAGTAACTTTAAAGTAATATAATTAAAAAACCATTAATTTTGGTAACTTAATGAAATAGCTAAAAAAGTTTAGTAAAAAATAAGTTTAAAAGTATTATATACATTTTGTTTTAAAGCAAACAAATAAGAAAGTTAATACAGGTAATGCAAAAGACCACATGGCGTATAGCAATAAATTTAACTATTGAACATTAAAATAGTAAGACTACCAACAGTAACAGACAGCATTAATAAAATTAATTTGATTGCAATAATAATATTGGTCATTATAATTAAAAGTATAAGCAAATATACACCAAACTGAAACCATGGAGTATTGTAAAGTTTTGGCCTTCTGGGAACCAACAGCACCATTAAGAGGGTCCTATTATAATTAGAAGAATGAGGGTAAGACGTTTAGGATTTCCTTGATTAAGAAACTTTAGCAATTTGGCACATGACGTATTTTGCATCAGGAATTTAGTAACATAAAATCAGACTAAACTAAACTAATCACGTGGCATATAATCAAATTATACAAATATTTATAAATTCATACATTGATATTTTCAAAAAATACCATAAGATTTATTAAGGTGTATAATTTCTCTTTATTATATTCACGAATCATTACTAAACTTTAATAGATTAAATACATTGTTCATAGAAATCAAAATTTTGGATTGAGTTATTACGCCTTGGTTCATTATCCAAGTGACTCTTAAAGCATGAACTAGTTAACGATAAAAACATATTATTTGGTGAGCAACATTTTTAATTGTCAATTTTTAGTATCAATACGATATTATTGGTACCAAATTCAATGTTCAGTTCAGGTTATGTGCGAATATGATAGAAACATTATCTTTTATCAATAATTAGTGATATTTTAATTAATATTAATCAATGATGTGAATGATAACTCACCTTTCGTATCACCATTGCCATAGTCTAAAATAAACAAAATCAACAGCGCTATAAATTTTGGATGTCCTTGTGTTTGGTGGTGATGATCGGATGTTACCATTCTTTATTGTTATCTACGAACACCGCCGGTGTGTCTTATCCTGAAAAAAAGTTAATTTATAGTATATATTTAAATAAGTAAACGGTTACTATTAAATAAACTCCTTCAAACATAGAGTTATAATTAGATACTAAGAACAATTATGTAAGTTCATTATTTTGGAAACAGATTATCAAATCCCATTTAGTGAAATCGTAAATCTCTCGGTTGATTTATATCAAGAAAATTATTTTAATTAACCGTTAACAACTAATTAAACTTGTGTTTCAAATTTAAATTATACTATAATAATATGGGTTAACGATATTAAAGTTGAATTTTAATTGGTTCTGTATTATTCCAGTCAGATTATAAATAAAACATAATATTTAAACACCAAGTAATTAGTTCATTTTATAAATATCTTTAAAAGTTTTTTCATAAAGTCAGTATTTTAAGTTAATGTAAGAATTAAATAATAATCACATATTTCCTCTAAAAGTTAATTGTTGATATCATGACATCTTTGGTTATTAAAAAAACTAATACATCAGAAATATACATTTTTTATAATACGTACAATGACGATGTTTTTTTATCGTCTGTCGAAAATTAGGAATCTTTTTTATCGTTAAAGTTTTAATCATAATTTTTTGATACTATAAGCAATGTCTTTCTTTTTATGAATGATAAAAAAATACAAAATCCCACTTTTATGTCTTAAGCTTTATATGCAAGTATTAGATTTCAATATCAAATTTTGTGTATGGTTGGCAAAACAATTTTTCCGTGCTAAAATTGAAAAATTAAAAAATTAAATAAATTTTTGTTCAAAACCTTATTTGAAAGTTTTTAAAGAAATTAGTTAAAATTAAATTTGCTTATCAAGAACCTGACACGATCTCCCACAACATCTACGCTCACATCAGCCTTCCTCATATCGCATTCAATAACATCCCTCCATCTCTTTTTTGATCTTCCTCTACCATTAAGCCGAGAAAAACGATTTTGAAATTTTTAACTAACTTAAATTATTCTTTTTATCTACTAAAAATTTGATGTACGGTTACCGTGTCGGTAACTGTAATTTTTTTTGTTTTTAATTATGTTTTTTTATGGAAATACTCATTTTTTTTTAATAATTTATCAAAATGAATTTATAATTTACTAATTAAAAATTAATAAAACAATTGACTAGTCATTTTCTTTATTATATTACCATAAAATAAATAAGATAATTATTTACGTATAAAGTATAAAGTAAATAATTAAAGTATTTTAGTAAAAATACTAAAAAATTATGGATAAATTGAGAAAAACACGAAACTGAAAGAAAATAATAAAAAACTTATCAATATTATTTTTATTTTTATATATATAAGTGGTTCACGATAAAAATATCACACTTTTCAATATTATATTTTATGTCACTCTAATGATTATGTGTACTATTTATTCGTAGGGAATATCATTCTTAGTAATATTATATTAATTTAATCATTATAAAACAGTGCCAAGTTTACTATATTTTTCGTTAAACAACCGCAAGGTTGTAAATTTTAAATATAAGATCAATTTTGTACGTCCTAAGAAATTAACATTAAGAAATTTCTCTCGATATCTTAGAAGTTATAATTTACAGTAAAAAATAAAATAACGTAATATGAAAATATTTATTTCAATTTAATTAAAGAGTACAAGTCTTGAAAATTTCACAAATTGTTTTCTGTGTTATGTCTGTTTCGGTCTCAGAGTGGACTGTATAATACGTTTGCTTTTACTATTTACTTAATAAGAACGAGGTAAAACTTAAAACTTTTTAATTTAATTTATAATACTTTATTTTTGTATACACATGTTGGCGAGCGCATCGTGTCGTCCTTTACGATGACGAGTTCATCGCTTGACTGCTTTTTTATACAATAAATGAAACCGGTACGCACCGGGAAAACGCTCTTATCTCATACAATAACATTTTATGAAAACAAAATGGATCAAACAATATTCATTTATTATTTAAAAATGAATCACTTAACAGTAAACAAAATTTCAAGGATATTTACTTAAAACTGCCCAACTCAAACAGTCATTACTTTAATTGTTAATAATTTCAGGAATACTGGTCATATAGTTGTTATTAACTAATTGTTTTCTAAATTTATTATTGTATGTAAAAAGTTAATTTAAAATATAAAATTGTATCTCTTATAAAGTATAAGATATAGCCTAAAAAATTACTCAATTATTACTAAATCAAGAAGTATATGTATCTAAAATATATGTATTCCCGAAATTGTTTTCATTTTGTAAGTAATTGAATGGGTTATTATAAATGAAACACTTTATATATATATATATATGTATTATGTTTTATTGTATTGAATTCTATGACATTGCCTTTAAAATTCCATTTGGTGATATACTCAAACTTTTCGTTTTGTCTGAAGCAACGGTCCAGTAAATCTACTTGGGGGTGGTTCTTTGTACATTAGTTATTGAACCGGATAGATCGTTTGATAAATATACAATAACGACGACAATATTAGGGCTCAAGAAAAACGTATTTTACAGTTACAACAACATCTCTGGAGCTGTTGAAACTTATGGTTACTATTTTTATCTCATTCAACGTTATACCTAATACTTTACTTCATAAAGATACATTATATCTTTACTCTTTACGTTTGTTTGTACTTTTGAAATATATTAATGACATTCTCGAAAGATAAAATTTGTGTCATGGTTTATTTGAATCTAAAATCTGTGAGTTATAGCAAAAGAATTTTTCATTTTTGTTAATCAGTCATTGTTTGGTATTTAATACGAAATATAACTTAGTAAAATTTATATTAAGTTTTAGTAATTAAAACATAAAGTATTTCATTTCAACATTCTCAAAAATAATCGATAACGTTTTTAATTTAAGTTATTTTAAGCAATTTAACTTTTACCATCATTTTCTTATTTGTTTTAGTATTTGTTGTTTTGGCTAGCACATGGGAATTGAAATGATAAGCCTATACAAGTCTCTTAAGTTACTTGTTTGCAAGAAAAAATTTGAAGTAGATAATATCATTGGTTTATTTTCTGAACCCATGGCATATAGTTAGTAAAGCCAGCTTTTGTTTTCAGGAAGACATTATATTTTTTTTTAGCTAATTTTGTTTTCTATAGCAACTACAAATCCAGCTGTACTTATACGTCACGTTTATTATAAGTTAGTACTATATAAATAAAAGTTATTTTGTAGGACTATTTCAAAAATAAATTTATAAACAATTTTGAAAAAACATCAATGGTTTATTTGAACAAATATTAAGATTAATTTAAGATGTGGATACCTCATACAATACCAAAAACAACGTTTAATTTATTTTGTCCAGCAAACGAGGTAATGTTATTACCTAATGAAATTGGACGTGCAATAAAATCTGATGATTTCAGTTGGGCAAATCAAATGCCGAAGGCTTTAAAATATATGTGTTTGGATTCTATTTCAGAAAATTTTCAAAAATTTCCAAAAGATCTTTTTAAAAAAATTAATTTAATGAACACAGTGTATTTGTCTGAAAAGCTTCCTACGAGTTTATCGTTAGTGCTAGTCATACATGTACCGGATGGTGAATATTGGAAACGCCGATGCAATGATTTTTGGCCGAACTTCAGTGAACTTCATAATAACAGCGTAGAATCATTTAAAGTCGCATTCATAAGTGAATACGTATCACAGACAATCGAGAACTTAGTTCCAGGATATGTAGACAAACAGGAGCTGACCGAAATATTATTAATTTGTAATCCTTATATAACGACTTTGAATTGCAAAAAACTATGCATTCCAGGATCGTTATTGCATGAAATGGATATAGCAGAAAGTGGTGAACTTCCTGAAGATCCAGTACATGTTGAGTTAGATTTTATATTGCATCATTTACCTAGGTTGCGGGAAGTGAAGCTAGTTTATGGAATGAAATCTTGCATTGAAGAGGATTATACGCCAGATCAATTTAAGTTTAATATTAAAGATATGGACACTCTCGGCCAAGGCCTTGTAACATTGCCTTATTTGTCGAGCTTATCTATTGTTAAAAGTGCTTTGGATGTAATAAAATTCAATAGGTTGTCGTTATATTTATCAAACTGTCATTTGTTAGAGCACTTAGATTTTTCATACTGTTTACTTGAAACATTAGCAGCAAAATCAATATCAAATTTTATAAAGTTTGCAAAAATGTTGAAATCTATAAATTTATTTTGTAATGATATTGGACCCGAAGGCGCTGAAGCTTTAGCATATGTCGCTTTATGGAGAGGGCAAAATTATTTACCAAATTTGGATTTAAACTTAGGTATTTACTAGTTTTATGAGTTACATATTATGTTATATTTATTTAATTAAAATTAACTTATAGGTATGAATAAAATTTGTGACTTGGGTGCTCAATATTTAGCATCTGCTATAGCATCAGGTGTACAACCTTTTAGTGCACTTCGAATAAGTAATTGCATGATAACACAAAATGGAGGTTTAAAAATCATTGAATCAATTCAATATGACCAAGGTTTGAAAATTTTACAGTTAGACAACAACTTTATAGGACTAAAAGCCGGTGTAGAATTACATAAAATACTTATTCGAAATACGAATATTGAATATTTATCTACTTATAACTGTGGGTTAACAATTAAATTACAAAAATTTCTTGCTAAGGTAGCTTTTTATAATAAATACAAGAAACGTTCAATACTAGATTATACAAATATTGAAGAACTAATTAAAACCGAAACTGAATCTAAAGAAAGTGTCCATCAAATAAACCAATTTGAAGAGGACACCAAAACTTAATGAATTTTATTTGTTAAATGATATTATTTAAAACTTTTGTAATGTAAAGAAATTGAAATTAAATTAATAATCAGAACAGAAATATCATTAAAATATCTACTTTTTTATTGTAAATATTTTTATTGCTTTCAGAATGTGAGCTTTTTTAGTAAGATTACTTTAAAAACGTTTAACATTTTCACTGTTTTCCTTTGGTTTTAAAACTTCATTTTAACTTTAAAAAACTCAGTTTCTTATTTTTATTTGTATTTTATGACAGTTTGTTTTTTCTACTACAACAATAAATTATCCATTAATAGTTTTATTACTAAAGTATATCACAGTAATTATAAGTAATTCTGTATTATTATTACTACTATACATTGCATATAATACTATAGGTCAATGCATAATAATGAACATTTTTATGGTTATGAATCTCAACTCTTATTTAATTGGGACCCATACTTATTTTAACGAGATAACTGATATCTAATAATACTTGAATGTAACTAAATATACTCACAAATTATTAAAAAACCTCATAAATAATATTTTATTACTTTGGTAATTTTAAACATATATTACTATTATATTAGTAAATGATATATTTGTTGCTTAATAATTATTCACGTAATATTAATATGAACAAATTTTAAATTTTAAAGCAATGTTGTTTTTCATTAGCTACATATCATTATAGTGATATAGTATTATAATATAGTGATGCTATTATTGCTTCAGTATAAACTGAATTTTATTTTATACAACAAAAATAAATAACTTTGGTATCATAAAGTTTTAAGTGAGCTTAAATAAGTGAACGTTTTATCACTGTTAATATTTTGTATTGTAAAAACATAATTTAATATTAATCACAGTTAAAAAAACAAAGTTACACCATACAAATGAAATATTAAATGTTATTAAAAAGAAAGTGTTAATTTTTAATATTAATTAAGTAAATTTTATTAAAATTAATTTTTTACTTAATGATTACAAGAAAATATTTATAGATTAATTCTTGAAAACTTCTAAAAAATACTATAGGAGATCTGTTTAAACAAAATATTATTCTACGCTAGTGCATACCCAATTAATAGATGTATTACAGTTAGCTTTTACTAGGAGCCATTATTATGATGCTTGAAACATCAAACACTCAATTTAGAAATTTTTTTTATCTAGTCTATCTTGTATTTGATGGATAAAAAAATACAATTCTCTAAAAATGACGACTGAATTATTTATTACAACATATTGCATAGTAAAGCAATATGAATAAATTCAAAGTTCATTTACATACATATTTTTAAGCTTAAAAGCCAACGAAAAATGAATTACATAATTGAGAAACAATGCAAGTCACAAAAATTCAAAATCGAGTATTCAAGCGCAATATATTTTTTATGGGTAAGTCCATTAGTTTTGGAATTTGCAAATAAAATTTTGTACATTTTTCAAAACCTCAGTAAGTTTGAAAGTTTTTTCAAATTTTTTGTAAGAATACATGCGCATGAGAATAAACGTATATCCAGTGTCTAATGAAGATCTTATGTATATACTATTGTAGTAATTTTATACATTGCAGAAAGTTATATACTTTAGTACAATACAGTTTTAACGCAACGCGCTATGTTGAAACTGATTTTCATTGTTTTTAATAAGTGTAATATTTCAAACTCAAATAATTATAACTGTAGTTTATCATTTTTAAAGCAAACAAAAAACTTAATTACAACATTTCTCGGAAATCTCAATATATATTATCTGTAACAAAATTTAGTTAATTATCGACTGCATCATTATGTCGTATGTTCGGTTTACGGTAAAAAAAAAAAATGATATTCTATTAGTGCAATTTATTCACTTAAAGCGTTCAAAAGTATGCAAAATTATACTATAATTTTGAAGTTCAATAAATCTGTTATATTATAACAGAATAATTATTAAAAGTTAAATTCCATTATTTGGTTATAAAATTAATAATTTCAACTGCTCTTAAATTTCAATACATTTAGCAATACCAAACAAAAGCAAACTTACTAGATTGAGTTTAAGTTTAAAAACCGAGTAGGCCCAGTAATTGAATGAAATTATGATTGCTCATAATATATATATATATATAAACGTCAACATAAGTGCTTTCAATTTTATAATTGAAATTATGCACCCTAAACTAAGAAAATCACAAAACTTTGATTCTAAAGAGTTAAAATTTCGAGTAAAACCGATATTATTCATTTATTGGGAAGTGTTCAATACCTGAACTAGTTACTCTATGATCACTTAAAGTTAAACATTTTGTGTAATGAATTATTTTTCGAACATTTTTAAATTTATTTAATTATTATGGTATAAAAATAAAAATCTAGTGCTTCATTTTGGGAGTTATTACAATAAAACTTTCTTTGCCTTCATTTTACGAGAAAACTGGTTTCCGTTTGTACTTTTCATCTATTGTATCAGCTTTTAATATCAACAAAATAATAGTTAGTACTATTTAATCCAAGACAATAGGAAAACAACACGTCTATGAGTTTTACAAAACATTTAACTGTTAAGTCTTTGTACTACAGTCGGATGTCAAAATTATTCTACTTAAATTCTCCACCCAGTACACAATGGCTTAGTAGGCACAAGAGTGTTTCTATTAACGTAGTTGCTGAGTCAAAAGTAAGATTCTTTGGCCATTTTGAATCCTTTGAACCGTAACCAACAATACTACAACTATGAACGTGTCAAAAGGTTCATGACAATTATGTTTCTGACATGTCGTTTACTAGCAGCCTGAACAGCATAATATCCTATCCTTGCATATCATTTCATTCTTTTGTTTTAGTATAAATCTCAAGTTGATGTTATACACAACTCACTGCTGTTTTTTTGTATAGCTGACAAATATGAATAAAAAAAAAACAACATATATAGAGAAAATGTCAATTAAAACAATAATATTTATAAACAATTTTTGTTTGGTTTTTAAAATTTATTTATTTTTTAAAATACATTATTATTTAAGTTATCATTTCTTCAAGTTTTAGTGAATCCATCTAATATATTTTATGAACTGTTATCATAAAGTTACCATTGAAATAACTTTTACTTTCATATTACTTCTTATTATTTCTTATTAAACTTATTACTCCCTTAACACCATTGAGTGTTAAAGGTAATTAACAGTATCATAATTGTTACCATATAAGTCGGCAACTTCAAACGCTATACATTCTACATCATTCTCATAATTTTTATGACACTTTTACATATCAATCCCCCATCCAAATAGATTTAGGGGTAGGTTAGATTAGATTTGTTTACATGGGGTAAGTAATATATGTACTGAGTTTGGTTAAAATCACTTCAGGTATCTCCAGAGTTGTGCTGAAATATACAAACACACATTAACTTCCAAATAAATATATAATTTATTGTACCTTACATCCAAAAACTACTATCAAAGGTTTTTGTGTCCTTTTTGCAAAAATGACTTTTTTTGCTATCTCAATATCAGGAATTTGTTATTAATCTGTAAACTTGGTATAGTTTTTAATTTTGTAGAGATTTTACAAAAAAATTATAATTCTGTGAAAGCAAAGCATACAATTTTTAAACAAATAAGTCTAAAAGGAAATAAAATTGGAATTTTTCCATTCCAAGTATAAAAATTCAAGTAGATATATTTAAGCAACTTAGAATAAACAAAAAAATATATAGTTTTAGTTTTAGTTGGAGAAAAATAATTTGACCCGAAGAAGCACTGAACTACACAAAATTAACAAAGCCAGTTGAGGGTTAATAATACTCTATCTGTATCCAACATAACATCTTGAAACAAATGCTAAGACAACTCTATTAAGGTGATCATTAATCTAATGAGTAGTTTTTAAGTGTAGGCGTCATGCAGCCGCCAAATGTCCATTAACACACATGTCAGTAAACACCTTTTGGTCACTACCAGCCGTCTTACACGAAACAATGCACAAGACGTTATTTTGCTTTCAAAGTGAAAACAATGCATACATATATATAATGTATTATTAATTGCTCGCTTTTATTTTTGTATTTTGTCACGTCATGAAATATGTTGTTACACTTGCGTTGTCGTCGAAACAATTAATTTTTCAAATGCCTAAACCGACAACGGATTAACAACGTCGTAAAGAAATGTCTTAACACTCGTTTCTCTATTCGTCACCATACTTCACTCATACTATTCTCTCTAAAATAATCTTTACTATCAGTAAGATGCTTCTGATCATCCAATTTCTTACTCATTTAATCTTAATACTTCAATAAATTGAATACAAACATAAAATTACAAATAAAATTTTTTACATCTTTTTTACATCATTCACTAATATTTATTTTGTATTTTCAAATCATTTTGAAAAAATGCTTCAATATTATTGTTCTTTATTAAGATTTGTTTAAATAAATGCGTATAATGATATTGCAGGTGAATGTTACTTTTAAAATGAGTTTTATATAATTTGATGTTTATTTACAAAGAATATTCATTAAGCTACTAGTTTAAATTTATTTGAAATTTAATGATGTTTTATACGAAATATAATAAGTTAAAGAACGAATGACATTTATAATCTTACGAAATTTCTATTCTAATTTAATAAAAAAATAATTATAATCTATTGTATTAAGTAGTATGATATTTTCAGATAAAAAATTGTTATATGTAAAACTATAAAAACTTTCTAGTCTACAAATACTAAGTAAGTTTTATAAAGTCATAATTTATTATACTATAATTCTAGATATGTACAAGTCAAACAAAACATATAAATTTCTGTTTTCTGAAGACTTCAAAACTCATTATTTTGAAATCCTATTAACCTCAATATTTTCTATTTGGAATTGTAAAAATTTTTTTTTGTAAGAAAAACCTTACAGAAAAATGTTTTAAAATTAGATTATTGAAAAATAACATTTTTTATAAGGTATCTTTCTAATATTATGGTAATATATTACCGTGAATATTGATATAATGTATTACAACAGTAAAATGAGTATAATACAGATAATTTCCTCCAAATGCAACTCAACCATCCTTATTAATATTAAAAAAACTTATTCATAATTTAAACTCAAAAAATAGTGGTAAACACTGTTTTTGAAATAGTTTTAAAATATATAAAGGCAAATTATAAAACTTATCGTTATACATATGTCAACACTACCAGAGTACACGGGGCGGTTCAAAGTGATAAATCTCACATAGATTACATCATTTACGACAAAATGTTGGAAGAAGTCCAATTAAGCCCGTATTAAATTCTTAAGGGATTTTTAACTAAGCTTGTAATTTGGAATATTTCATTGGACAAAAATTAACGAATTAATCTTAAGCTATTATTTTCATAACGTGTTGTTTGAATAGCACTAAATTCAAGATTTTATACAAAAAATCTATTAAAATTATTTAAATTAAGAAGAAAACAAAAATTATTCATTAAACAGAACTATAAAAATATAACTTTTTTTTTTTTTTTTTTTTTCACAAACCGGCATATAGTGGACCGCCCTGGAACTACCGCGAGGTATTGCTTCAGGGCGGCCCACGCATAAAAATATAACTTACATCCATAAAACCCAACGTAATTTGAGAACGATGTTATAATAAAAGATGAACAATTAGAATAATGTAATATGTGATTTGTGAAGACCAAAGTTATTGCTACTGAAAACATTATCAAATATATCTTAAGACCTACTAATATACAATGTGATTTTTTAAGAATGGTACCCCCATTTCTTCGTTAATCAAATCATTTTTCGTAAAAAAGTATAATTTGAAATTTATTTTATTTTTGTCAACCATAGTAAATATCAAGTTTATTGCATAAAAATTATTTCGAAGGGTAGATTTTAGAGGTAACTTTTAAAGTTGCTTATTATTATTCTTTTATTGTTACATAGATAATAGCCTGAATAAAATATTGATTAATCAATAACAAGTTTTATAAAATTACTTTTTGAGATATTAGCATTTAACTATAAGTTTAAAAGTAAGAAGCGAGGTAGTTTTTAGGGACACTCTATTTTTAGCCTGATGCACAAATAGTTCTTTGACGTTGTGCACCCTTCTTGCCTATAACTAAAAATTACATTAATTCAAATGGTAATAATATAAATATGGTTATCAACCAGTCAAAATTATATTTAGACCATTCTTCACGTAATAAGAAAAGAATAATAGGCTCCTATTTAACTTTCAAAAGTTACCCTTAGAAACTTTGCATTAACAATGGATTACAAAAAAAATTGAATTATAATCTTTATAAAAAAATCATTATTCAAAAATAAAAGTAAGGTATTCTTTTTAAAAATCGCACTGTTTATATATTTAAATATAAAATTTTAAATGTGTAATAAAATGAGTCTATTTTTCGTTAAAAAATGACTAGAAATAAATTAAACACAATATAAGTCACAAAAATTTATTATTTTGTAAAGAATACAATAATATCAGAGCTAGGAACCGAAACTGAAATAAAAACTTTAAAAGCCGTAACCATCACAAAAACTTACATTTCTACATAATTTTTATTTTGATACGATATTGCCATTACTCAACAAAGGAAATATGTCCGCCTATTAGAATCAAGTATATAGGGTCATTTATAATTGAAAATTAAATATTTATTTTAATTATAATATTTTTGAGACATTTTTTTTTGGATTATCTAAGTAATATTTATTTTTCGATTATAATTGGTTGAATATTTTAATAGTACATCCCTTAACACTTATAAGGAAACCATATTTTTTAAAAATTATTTTAATAAATTAAATGATCAAATAAACACTTTTGAACCAATTTTTCGGAAGATATTAATATTTCTAGATGTAGATTAAAGACAAGGTGCAAGTTATTTTATTTTTATCATTGTGCATTTCTTTGCCGCTCTCCGCCTTCTACCTAGTCATTATAATGTTCTTAACTTCTAAAATACTGTTTCGAAAGTTGCTATTGATCAATTATTTCCTTAATTACATTTTACATTCATAATTACAATTTGCTTAATTATTATTAAGTTTTAAAATTTAAGATCATGAAATATGTATTTTTCATTAAAAATAAAGTTTACACACTTATAAGAATAGACCATAAAAATATTTAGTATAACATTTAATGTAATATTTTATATATTTAAAAATATGAATTTTAACAACTTATAAATCGAGAAATAACCTTTATTTAAAAAAGCCGTAAAAATAATTCACAAAGTTCTTATTATTTTAGAAATAATATAGTGGTTACTAATAAATCAATCGCCTGTATTTTCTGGTTTGAATTGTTGTCAATAATTGAACGTGTGTGACTCGTATTAGCCATATGTTCACTAAACATTATTGTTATTACTTTTATTTATTTTATACCTATTCTGATCTCCAAAGTTTTGCTTAAAGCAAAATTTTATAAGCGTAAAAATAGTAGTTTTGAGAAAAACGAAAACTCTCTGAATTATCTTATATTTACCGCATTATTAAATTTTATAAAATACCGAATATGATCTAATAAAAAGCGAAGTCGTTGTATGTGGTCAGTGAACAGTTATATTACTTAGAATATAACTGAGTATATATATATAACTTATGCTTAGTATATACTTGTATATTGCCTAGTGTTATCCATATATTTGTAAATACAGAAATTCTGTTGCATTAATGCTATTTTTTTAATAAAAAAAAAATTGCGCCTTAAAATTATGAGTATTTCAATACATAAAACTCATTTTTTAATTTTTAGCTTAGGAGAGCAGTTTTGTGGTGTGCTGTTTTTTATCATAGCAGTTCAATTGTTAGTCATGGGTCGTCCACTGAGGTCACTGTTTTATTCATATTATGAATTTGATAAAAAAAACTTTTTAGATTTTTTACCACCGTTTAAACTTTAGTTAATTTTTGTAAAAATACTTTTATATTCATAAATCTCAATTATTAGTAGATTAAAATTCATCATTAGTTAGTTATAGAAAAAACTTAAAAACAAAACGTTCATGTATGAAAATTTTATAAAGTTAATTATATTTAAAAAAATTGGATATTTACGTTGTTTAAAATCACTATATTTGTAATAAAATCATTATTAATTTATTTTCTGATTATGTATAACATATATTTATCTTTTATAAAAATATTTTATTAAAAAAGTATAATTTAAAAAAATGATTAGGTAATGTNATTTAAAAAAATTGGATATTTACGTTGTTTAAAATCACTATATTTGTAATAAAATCATTATTAATTTATTTTCTGATTATGTATAACATATATTTATCTTTTATAAAAATATTTTATTAAAAAAGTATAATTTAAAAAAATGATTAGGTAATGTAATTATTTAAAATAATTTAAATAACAACATAAAAAATTTTTTTTTAATAACTTTTGTAGTTTAATTAGAAATATACTATTAAAATCAAGTAGTATATCTATGAGGCAAAAGAGGATATCTGCTCCATTGATTAAGAAAAGCGCTTTTTCATTGGATAACTCTTACGTTATCTTATTTTCCAAAACAAAAAAAGAAACATAATAAAATTTGACTACAAAAAATTGATTTAAAGACCATTATTAATCAAAACCGTAATACAGACAAATCGAAAAATCAAATTTTTACCAAAATATAAATTATTAAAAAAATTAAAAATTAAATCCTACTGTAACACAGCCACGTCAGATGATAGCTCTGAATGATATCATCTAAGAGAAAAATTATAATTTATCATAAAATACTAATTAAATTTTTACTTAACAGTTTGTTTGAAGTAAAATATTTATTTAATTTTTAAAAAATGTACATGGACAATATAAAATATTAATAATTTTATTTTCTTCGTATAAATGAGATATAGAAAATAAAATAGTATCAAAATATGATAATATTTTTTCAGTAATGTTTTTTGGACTTTAAACTGAATAAACGATTATAATAAAATGTATTCTAATTAAAGACCTTTATTTTCATTTCATCATTACTATGTGATGGATAATATAGTGAATTATTGTTTTTATAATAAATTATATCATAGTATGTAAACTTTTAACTTGTATCAAATAATAAGTTTATTAATTGTTAATTTTATGTGTAATTAAATTATTTCAAACAATGTTTCGATTATTAGTGTTTTTGTTAACATTCATTTTATTGATTTGTATGGCCACAACATCGATAGAAAATAGAATTTATCGGTAATTATTTTCTTATATGTTTTAATGCATAAATAAAATCTTTAAATAATTTTGGTGTGTAATGAATGTTTGGAAATAGTTTGTAACTTACAATACAAAATTAGAATATTAAAGTTAGAGTATATAGCAAATAGTATGATAAATCATGACAGGGAAATAATGTATCATACTACAATGTCTTTGTTACAGCAAAAAAAATCGTTTGTTTTTTATATAGATTAGTCAAATAATAAAACTTAAAATTAGTTTCGTTCCCATGACCGGATAGAATTTATTCAACATAACTGAATATTATTACCAGCCGATATTATTATTTATTAACTGGTGAAACTTTTTAAAAGTAAATTTTATATTTAGATTGCCATTAATTAGAAGACAATCTACTCTAGAAAAACTTTTACAAAATCCAGACGGAAAGGTCAAAGATATGAAAATTGGTAAAATAAAACCAACAAATGAAAACATTACACTATTCAAATATTTAGACGTATGTAATAAATTGTATATTTGTATTATATTAATTAATAGTATGTACATATCTACAATGTAAATTTACTAAAAAATATTTAGTTTCACGATATGAATTATGTAATTCATATCGAAAAATTGAAACACATTAAATTGACTTAAAAAGATTATTTTAAAAACTTTTACAATGTTTTAATTAGTTTAAAAATTAAAATGAAGCATCATCATGAAATTAAAATTTCCTTGAAAAATTAAAAGAAAACCTGCTATAATTAATATTTAAAAAATGAATAGATCTAAAAAAAAACATGTTAATGTCGTAATTTGTTGTTAATTATAATGTTATAGAGTGAATTCTATTCAGAAGTACTAGTCGGTAAACCAGGACAAAAGTTTAAGGTAATATTTGATACAACATGGGGTGATATGTGGTTACCTTCAGTGTTATGTTCTCCAAAATTATACCCTTTTTGTGGTAAGTTTAAATTGTGTCACTAATTTTTTCTTTAAATGAATACTCGTCATTTTCTGATTAGGTTAATTGAAGTGTATACATTATTTTCATTAGAGTTTTTAATTAACATAATTGATACCATATTAATATTTTGATTTTACTCTAAGTAAAAAAAAGGAATGATAAAATTTCTATTCTCTTTAGAAAAAAAAAACTTATACGATTCAAGTAGGTCATCTACTCATGTGCCAATTAAACCAGAACCATTCAATATAAGTGGATTAGTTGGGAACGTAACATGCGATACAGTTCGAGTTAGTTCCTAAAATTTCAATAAAATATTTTAAAAAATCAACTAATAGATGTCTTCAATTTAGCTATCTCATTTGAATGTTACGGATTTATTGTTTGCTGAAATCATAGAAGTTCCTAACATAATAGATTTTGAAGTAATGAAAGCAGATGGAATCATTGGTCTAGGATACAAGACATTGGCAAAAACAACAGAAGTTCCTTTTTTTTACAAACTTATTAAGGACAAAAAAATTTTGAAACCAATTTTTTCTTTGTATATTAATCGGTAAGACCGCATGTTAATAGTTTGTTTTGATCGAATCTAAAAAAGAAACAATTGAAAAAGACCAACAATTTTTCAAATTACTCTTATACGAAAATATACATGGGATGATCAAATGATCTAAACTTTAATAAGAAAACAATTTAAATTTAATTCCAAGAAAAACTCAAATATAGTTTTTTTTAGACTCAAACAAAAGAAATAACTTTATACTTGTTATGTATTTTTGTTTTAAAAATTATTATAAAGCAGATATTTCAATCATTTTTTAAAATTAATTCACATTATAATTATAGATTTTTACAATTATTGATTTATTTTTAATTAATTAAATTTAATAATGCATATGTATATTTTGTCACGTGAATTTTCAAGATTGGTTATCATTTTATTAAAAATCTTAATTTTACCAATAACTATTTTGAACTATATATGTTCTTATTTTGAAAAAATCAGTGCTACTCTAATATATCTTTAATTTAATTTAACTAAACAGAGATCCAGGAACCACTAAAGGTGGAATAATATTCTTGGGAGGGATAGAGCCAAAACACATTAATGGTACAATAACTTATGTACCAGTTATTCATCAGGCTTATTGGCAATTTGAAATGACACAGTAAGTTTAAAATAAATTTAACTATTTTTTTAATACTTGTGAAAAAAACTATTAAAAAACCCCAATTTGTTGTTATTAATTAATTCAAATTTATTTTACTATGTTCTTTCTCAAATTAAAAACATTTATATTCTATAATCTAATAAGTTTTTGAAATCATAAATTTTTAATACATTAGAATTGCATTAAGTTGGCTTTTAGTTAAATTTTTGCATCGTATCTTGGTGAGTTTTTTAAAAATATATTATGTTTATTTACTGCATTATTTGTGATTAAATACAGTATAACTTTTATAATTTTATTTTAACAAATTGTGTTTTTGTTGATTCACAAACATATATCTGTTTTTGTATAGATTTTCTGTTCAAATTAACAAAACTTATTCTGAACCATTCTGTAGCCCTTCGGTATGTCAAACAGTATTGGATACTAGTAACAATAAAATAGGCGTTCCTGCAAAATATTTATTAAAACTTAATACACTTATTAAAGCCAAGGAATACAAGTACAATCGCTACTATGTAAGTATACAAATATATGGCACATTTTTATTAAAAATTTGTACTTTCAAAACAATATTACATTAATGATGTACAAATATGACACTTTTATTTTACAATTAACTGTGTCGTTTCCAACAGTTGGATAGCGAAAACGTGTAGCATTGTAATTCGATACACTCAACGAAAAAAGTAGTAATTTTATTTTGTGAATGTTTCAACAGTAGCAAAATAAAATTTAAATTTTGATTTTAATTCTATTTTTTATTATTATTTTTTTTTTTATAAGCTTTTATTATGAAAGTATTATAGATCGAAAATTATATAAAAATTAGATAATATAGTATTAATTAGCGTTATGAATTACAGAAATAATTGGTGTTAATTAGTATAAAAAAAGTAAAGTATGTACAATAAATGATAATATATAATAAAGTTGTTAGCGCTCAATATAAAAGAAATGATGGCAGTAATAACGGGAATATAATGGGAATTTAGTACCACAGAGGGAACAAAATTGGAAATTCCATTGGATTCTAAAAATTTTATAACCAGGCACCTATTAAACGTCAAGTAGGAACAATTCAATAAATAGTGAGAAAAATCTCCGAGGACTTTATCCTCATGTAAATGGCAAAAGGGAACAGAGTTCAGGTTTAATTTGTAAGCGAATGTTGGTAAAAGGTTATGACCCAGTCTGAGTCGTGATAAGCTAGAAATGATATTGCGAGTAAGATCTAGTTGATGGAACCACGGAATTTTGAAAGGGCTGGATACGATGGACCGATACAATCGGGCAAAGCTGTTAGGGAGATAAGACCGCTTGGTGAGCCAAGCTTCCATCAAGGTTGATCTAAAATAATCCAGACCATTAGAATAAGGGAAGGATAACTTAGGAATGATTATGCGCAATTAGCCAAAAAATCAGCGAACTCGTTACCGCTATTTTTTTTATTATTCTTTTGGAAAATCATTATATCTACTCTGTGAGCTACAATAAATAATTTTTTTAATTTTCATAAAAAAACAATAATATTGCTAAATATTTATATATACATCTTTATTCGCTGGAAACCATCATTTTAAGAAAAAATAAAAATATTATTTTATAATGTCTTATGGATAATTAAAGAAGCCATCATTTTTTTGGTTGATAAAGTAAAGATTCTTTATTAGGACACAGTCGTTACTCAGAAACAACAAATTGTATTTACGATCTATTTCGTTGAATATAGCGAATTGCATTCTAGTTAAACTAATAATTTTGTTTTATACATAATCTACGAAAACATCATAATTATTATGATCTTACTTTATTATTTTTACGATTTTATTGACATTGTAGTAACTTATATAATTTAATTATCTAGTATCGATGAATTATTCAAATTAAAAAAAAATATTTTATATTTATTTTTAACTGTAGTGTGATCTCATATTTTTAAACAATTTTTAACTTAATTAATTTATCTAAAAAAAATTAATTGTGATGTTAACAAATTATTTTATGCTTTGGTAACAATTCTATCGTTGACCACAAGAAACCTCCTAAAATTATAATAATATTAAAATAAAAAACCAATTAATTCCTATATTTTATATGGCATATGGGGACTGAAATATGCTCAATAATTCATAAATCTAGATTTATAACTAAAAATGTAAAAAAATATTTATATATATAAATATAATATTAGGAGAAATCGAATGATGTTAACGATAATCAAATCACTCTGTATACTATTTCTTAAATTTATATTCGATATCACAAACAGAAACAGTATTCAATGCTCTTAGTTTTAAAAAATGTTAGAAATATTAATAAACATGGCCATTATTACTACAATATTCAATCGTAACTTCATAATAGAAATAAAAATTATGTATTAACACTTATAACAGTTTTAGCTATATTTTAAACTCACGTAAAATTTTATGTAAAGTTAAGTAATAAGTCATTTACAAAAATTATTATTATTTTAAAGTTCAGTCAAAATATTTATTGTCTAGGTATCATGTAATACAATAAACAAACTGCCAAATATTATACTACACATAGGAGACAGAGATTTTAAACTTGAACCAAGGCATTATATCCAAAGGGTAATTATAATTTTTTTTTTTTGTAAAATTCACATTATTGAATACTTAATAATAATTGTACTTATTATTAAAGATTGAAACTTCAAATGGTTTGGTTTGTCTAACAGCATTTGGAGAAACTGAACTCGATAATGATAGATGGTCATTAGGAGGAGGATTTTTATCTAGTGTTTACACAATATTTGACATAGAAAATAACCAAATAGGTTTTGCTAATTTACGATCTGGATAAAGATATTGAAAACAAAAATTTTAATTTTTGACTAATTGTACAAAAATAACTTATATTTTTTAAAAAATTAACTGAAATCATGAAAAAGATAATCTAGTAATTTTATATTTATTTTGAACAATTAATGATTTGAAACTTAGTTTAAATTCAAAAATGATATACTAAAATTTGTACTCTATTTAATAATTTTGATTAAAAAAATAATAAAAAGAAAATAATTTTTGGATTTTCATTTAACATTCAAATATATAAACAATAAAAAATAATACATTTTCAAAGATTTTGAATTTTATAGTTAAATTACCTCAATATACAAATAATGAATTATAATAGTTTTTTATAAATAATTTTATTTCATTATACATAAACAATTAATTTTTCGAAATTTGTTCCAATTTTTTAATTTTTCATACTCATGAAGTATTTTTATGTAATAAACTTATTTGAAAATCACATTAAATTATGAACAATATATTAAATAAGAACTTAATATGTTCCTATAAATAACTTTTTAATTACGTTCTTTACAAAATCCAAACTGAGAATTTTTATAATCGTCATTGAAAATACTGATGAACAATTTAGATACTTGATAAAAATAAAGTTTAAATCAGATTTATATCATTATCATTGTTAACAAAACAAAATATATATTTTTAGGTATAATTATGTCACATTTTTGAATCAGAATTTTAAGTTTAATATTATTTACTATTATTATAAATCAATCACACAATACATAATTGATAATTTATTATAATGTAATAACAGTAATTATTTTTTAAATTAAATCAACGTTCATGAAATATCGATTTTACTTTCAGCACCTAAATGTTGCTGAATTAATTTTTTTTTGATAGAGCTGTAATAATTATCATAATTTTTAATCGTTTTTTTTTCTATTAAATAAATATTCATAAGTTTTGAGAATATTTTTTTAGATGAGAAATTAATCATATTAATGTCACAAATGTTATATAATATTAGGTGTATATTATATGGTTTCTGTAAGTATTGAAAATTTGGTAATAAATAGATATAAGGTGCATAGAATACTGAAGTAGTTAAATTATGGTGCCAATAGCGAAAATAACTCCTTTTTAAAGTCATAAACGAATAAACTTTTGACATACGTTATATAATGTTCCCTATTGAGCCAGAAGTAGACGCTGCTAGGAAAATTTAAGACGTGCAACATCTGGGCACACCATCTGCCTCTGCGACTTAGGACTTTTTAATATTTTCTTTAAACTATTGCCGTTTTAAGACCGTTTTTTCCAAAAGCATAAGATCCTTATATGGTACGAAGCATTATAACTTTTCCCGTGATGTGTTATCTAAAATGCTTATATCTAAATAGTTATTGTTTCTCATCAAGAAATATATTATTTATTTTAAGTTTAATTCGATAACTAAGTGATTATTGATAATTAATATTAATTGGTAATTCCTTTTTTTTATTATACGATTTTAATAATTATGTGTATATTTTTGTATATAAGCAACTATTCGAATAGGGAAAATGGTTATGTAAAATTTGAGGGATTACTTCAAGAATGATTTTAAATGTAAGTTAAATAAACGTAATTCACCTTTATTGGACTAATATCGATATTTTCAAATCATCCAGAACATTTTTTTAAGTTATAAATGTTCACTTAACTGATGTAGTATTAATATAAGTATATATTATATTAGTATGGTCAAGCACAACTATAATTTAATGCTACTACATGTGTACATTGTACTAGTGCAATATATATTAATGTCAATAATCTTTTAGGAGATTAGAACATATAAATGTTTATACTTCAATATTAATTATTAAACAGAGATTAATTACATATAATTCAAACAATTTTTTTTTTTAACGAAAATTTTAATATTGATATCCTTTGTCAAAACAAATTTGAAGATCGTCTTTTAAAATTGTTCAATAATTATGATAAATATTTAAATTCTTTGATATTTTCATATTATAATAAAATATTATACATGTCATAAAAATTCAGAATTGTAGACGGTTTAATCAATCAATTTAATGCTTGTAAATTTATTTAAACGATGCGAAACTCAAAAACCATAAAAACGTTTGTATCATCAATCGTAATTTTTATCCGTTAACGTTAACTACTATCTTTGAATTTTTATTTTATGAATAAAAAAAAACATATTTACTATTTTGTATAGTACGACCAAAGCAAAATCATCGTAAAACTCTATTTAGATTGTATTACTATAATAATATTATAGTGATAGATACGCTGCGCGTCTAAAACTGTGAAGTATTTATGGCAAAGGGAAAATCAATAGAAGTATATTACACTCACATAATAAATGAAATTATAATTACTTAACAGCCAGAAATTATACTAATAATATTCTCTAGAACACAATAACTCACATTTCATTTAAATGATTTGATTATGCCATATTTTTAATTTGTAAATAATAATGAATGCACTCGTATTATATGTATTGACAAAATAATAATTTTTCATTTGAAATATAATGAATTTACAATTTTTGCCAAATTTTAAACGAAACTTCAACAATATTTTAAAGAAGGTAATGCCGTCATTATAATCACTTATTAAACAGACTAAGTAACGATGAGAAAACGGATCGCAATCCCTAATGACCTTAATGTTCTATTAAAATCTTGCTAGTTCACCTAATGGTTTTGAAACCTGAAAGGTAATAATACATAGACCCAACATCTGGTCGTGAAAGTGTAATATTTTATTATTTAAGTTGCGTTATATTTTATTTCATCCGATTTTCCAATCGTCAGTAAGAGTAAAGTTCCTCTAACAATAATCTATACAAATATTACATAAATACATATCTTACCTATAAGTGAATATTAATTTAACTTGTTTTTTTTTATACCCAGAAATAAGTTTTTCGTACACTTTTTGGAGATTAACTTAAATAAACCTCGTACCTTGAAGCACTGGGTATCTTTAAAGCATAACCTTATGGGGAAACATTTTACACAACCATTACATCTACCCTAATAATTGTTTTGTATTCTAGTGATAACTACTCGATTTATCTTTTTAAATAATCACTGCTTATGTTCAGCAACATTCATTAACAAGTAGAAACTCATTTTTTTTCACGTAAAAAATATTTATCAAAATTATTATTTCTTTTTATTTTGAGATTCCATAAAAATAGAATACTAAATAATTTTTATCATTTTAAAACAAAACAATTTTATTTTTAAATGAACACTTTACACTTTGAATTTTTTAAAAAAACATTAGCTACGGTTTTTTATGTCATTTTTTTTTTAAGTGAAAACAAAACAGAATTTTACGAACACTTTGGGATATTTTTCAATAATTGAGAATTTCCTGCATTAGCACATTCATTTGTATTCAAAAAATGTACCTCAGACTTATTGTAAATGTCTGTTCACATCAATATATTTTTTTACTCAAAACCAGACTCCTTTTTTTTTCTGGTCATCTAAACCTCAGTTCAGTTATGTAAATATTAAATAATATTTTCTTTTTTGTTTTAGTTTATTTAAACAAATTTAATTTGAATGAAAATATACTCTAAAACAAAAATACTATAAATATTAAATAGTATTATACTTACAAAAATGTATATAACACATATTTATTTTTATACAATGTTACATTTTTAACTAGGACTTTATTTTCAAAATAGTATAATTTTAGTTTAACAGTTAATTGCGTATTTTCATAGGCGTAAAGTGTGGGGGTTAGATGACATATCTTTTTTCCTGTTTAAAATTTAGTCTCCCATAAATTTAGCAGAAATATGTCCATTTTTATATAAAAATTATTTTTTGGGGGGAAGGGGAATTAAATTAACTTCCTAAAAAATGTAAATTCTAAACAATAATGTTTCTTAAAAAATTTCTTCTCCAATACAATGTATGTTTTTACAATATATTTGTTCTTTTAAGCCAAGAAAATATATCGGGCCTATTAATTGTATGTGTGTCAATATTTTGATTAAGATGCAATCTCTTGTATTTGATTCAAAACTTGATAAAAGTAATCCCGAGAAAAAAATCATAGACTTTAAGCTTTAAAATTATTCTAAAATTATGTTTATCATTTTATTATATTTACACATATTATTATGTATATTTTGCCTCTATTACAGAATGTTATATCTTGGATTTTTCAAAATTATTGAGGAGTAAAGATACACCATTTTTGTATAGTTAACAATATAAATAATTTTTTTAATAAGGTTTTTTATATTACAAAAATGCTTAACAAATGTGTCAATGATATGCAATTATGAATTTTTAAGAAATAAGTTCTCAAAATGTAGAAATTCAATTTTGTAAAGGAAGTAAAAAGAATTAAAAAATAAATTTTAAGAAGATAGTATATTTTTATCATATCATTAAGAGTTATGTAAATTTTTTAGAACTATTTCAATACAACCACAAATAAATAATTTATTTAAGATTTCGTTGGTGAACTCAGGTTTATCTCTCGCTCAAGGGATAAATCTTACTTCTTAGACAAATGGCCAAAGGTACACTGCACATTCATAAATAAACTGTGAGCCAAGAATTACCCCTCCGAAATTCAAAAAATAACTATTTTTTTTAAATATTAAAATTGTAGCAAGGCTCATGAATATTGAGGTGAATACGATTAATTCATGTAAATTTTGAATCAAATGTGTTTATTATGCAGAATAACACTTATTTTATTCTACATAGGTGAGATAAGTGTTAGAAAAAATTACCCCTATGTCTTCTTAATTAGAAGCAAATAAGAAAAATGACAATAGACCCAAAATGTTTGGTTTCCTTCTTAGAAATTTTCTTTTTATATAATTGATACTTCTTCACAATTGTCAATTTTTAACCATGCAGACCGGCAGTATTTCTTTAATTATCGTCCTAACTATTAACCCAACCTTAAAAACAAACATAATGATATTTACTTTGTAAAATTTGTGTATTTAGTATTCAGTAAATTTAATTCAGTATTTTGGGACACATCATTTTATTTAATAATTTTGTTTAATCAAATAATTTTGACAAGCTCTACTAAAAATCTTACACTTATTGCCTTATTAGATTTATTTAGTTTCATAAGTATATGAAAACAGTAAACGAAAAGCTTTCAGAAAAGATGAAATATGGTGAATCGACATACTATAAAACACCATAATTAAAATCTTTTATCTGCTAAAATTACCATAAATATCACTTTGATGGAAATATTACAGATATTTATATTCATATTTTTGTAAAATGAAAATTATTTTCAGTAGATTAACTATCCCATCAAATTGGTTTTACTATTATTAGTCAGTAATTATAACAATATAAACTATACTACATTTTAGACTTATCAATCATAACAATTTTGTAATAATGGTGGTTCGTTCTACTGCATTAAAAAAACAAAGATATCATTAAAATAATCCATTAAAAATTCAATTTGAAATCTGATAGAATAAAATTTTTAACTTTGACATTTTTGCCGTATAACAACTGTGTTGTATATTTTATTAACATAATGAAAAAAAAATATCAGGTATGTCGGTTAATACTTTAAATTGAATATTTCAAGTATTAAATGAAACTACCTATTAATAATTTGTATCTACTGAAAAATTGGTATTCAAATTGTTATAAAATACTTAATATTGGCGATAAGATTCATTACAAAATAATAAAGCATAAAACATTTACCACCTCGTTTACTACAGTAATATCTTAACATTACTCACTCTGAAATGATGTTATCTATGTTGTATTAGTAGACGATCTCTTCAATTTTTAAGTATAACACGTATTCTGCTCGGTTAACCATAATAAATCTTGAGAAAAACATTACAGAACTTTATTTTCTTTTGCTACAATTTTGCTCAGAACTAACGTTCCTCTCTCACTCGGTGCTTCTTCTTATAATAGTTTAATGAAAGTTCATATTTAACTTATACTCGGTAGTGATTACCAGACATACGGAAGAAATAACAATAGTTTCATGAGAACGTAGATAAATGTCGAGAATGTCAGATAAATGAAAACTTGAAATCAATAATGTGCTATGCGCCAAAAATATTATTTTGAGTGACTTAGCCTTTTTTGAAATTCAAAATTCAAAAATTCTAAATAAAAATATGAAACCCTTATTACCTTATATTAATAACTAATCATGAAAAATAATTTACATTTGCTCTTTTTATTTTTACCTTTATTAATCTATATATTATTAAATTTAATTTTTTAAATATTACATTTTCCTTTATTTCCTTCTCTTCTCATAAAGAACTTAAGTAGTTTTATATGATAATGAGCTTGGCTTTGGAACATTTTCTATTATATGGAACTATGACATTATATTATATGGAACTAACTTAATTTTTAATTTTTTAGTACACAGCATGTGTAAAAAAAGTCTTTTGATGTAAGATATAAAAATATATTTATTTATTTTGCAATACATTGTTCCATTGAAGTAAAATTTATATTAAAATTATGTACAATTTATTAAGTTTTATCTAACTAAATATTGCTATATATGTTTATTATCTCTGTATCCTTAGATATTGCAAAAAAAAACTTGAATTATTTAAAAACATATCAAATTAAATATATAATTAGATTATTTAATATGAATACGCTAAATGAGTGGGATAAAAAATTGCTTACCGATGTTTTAGACGAGGACATAGAAAATGTTTCAATTTCTTTAAAGAATGGTGCCAACATAGAAGTACAACTTTATGACCAAATGACGCCATTGCATTTTGCAGTTGAAAATGGAAGTTTGGAAATGGTTAAACTTTTATTAGAACATGGAGCAGAAGTGAACAAGTCGTCATATTTTGGTGATAGCATTTTGATGACTGCCACTAAGCGTGAAAATAAAGAGGTCCTTAGGTTACTAGAACTATTTAGTGAAAAATTTAATTATAAATGTCTTTTTGTATGAGGGTCCTGCTCATATAGACTTTCTAAAATGGTTTATTTTATTATACTTTTATAGATTTTAACAATTCTTTTACAATACAGAGCAGACGTTAATGTGCAAGATACAATGAAAAGAAACGTCCTTCACTATGCCATTATGAAAAGAAACTCGGATATATGTAGTATTTTATTAGAAAATGGCGTTTTTGTAAGTACGATATCCAAACAGGCAAGTGTGTGTGTGTGTGTATTATAAACATACAATGCAATACCAAGCAAAAATAATAATTTATCCATAAATTACAAAAGGCTTTTAGTAAACATTAATTATTAGAAAATAATTGTCTTGCACAAACACATAAAACTAGAAAAGTGTGACACTTCCCTTAAAGTTCATAGATTATGAACTTGAAGTAGCAGTGATACAACATTTTTATAACTAAAAACTTTTGATTCATAAGTTTTTATGAAGCCATATTAAGTATCAGAAATTAAAAATTATACATATATTGTATTTTTAATGTAAAATTACCAATTATACATATATTGATAAATTGAACATTTTTTTTTGTTGAAATTTCGTGTTTTGTTTCAAAAGAAATCATAATATCTAAAATATACTAGACGATCTACTGTCCAGTAATTTTTATAGATAATTTAGAAAAGAATATTTTTATTTTGTTAGATGAAGTGTGTTTTCACTTCAAATCCTATAAATAAAATTTATATTATACATAAAAAGTATAAAAAGTGTATACTTTTTGTTCCTTTTTAAACATGCTTGACAGGAATCACTCATTAGTTAACAAGGTAATAACGTAAATATTTCACTATTTTTTTTTTCAAAAGTAAATATCTTAATACGTTATACCAATATGTTAATCAATAGGTGAATCAACCAGATATTTTTGGAGAAACTCCTATATACGCAGCGGTTATTAGACGTATGGATTTAGAAATTATACAAAAGATGGTAGAAAAGGGTGGTATAATATCAAATACAGATGCATGTGGTCATACTGCCCTTCACCGCCTTATTTTAATGGCATATAAAGAAGACAATGATACAGTAAAATACATCGACAATCTTTTGTCGATTCACAAAGAGTTAGCTACTCTGCCAAGCGCTGTAGTTGATCGCACACCTTTACACGTTGTTGCATTTACCGGAAATCTCGAACTGTTGTCAGTAATATCAGCTCACACTTCTGAGAAAGACAACAGCGAATCGTTATTTAGTATTACTCCAGAAGAACTAGCAGTTGTATTTGAAAATAACGAAGTGGCTAAATTACTAGACATTGATCTAGAAGATGACGAAAGTCTACTAAGAGAATCCATATCTGATTAATTGACTTATTTTTGTACATTTTAAATAAACATTCTAAATAAATAAACAAAAAAAAAAATTAAAATTTTATGTACATTAGGTTATAAGACTAAAATAATTTATAAAATAAACTTAAAGCATCTAGAGAGCATTTTTAAAGAAATAACATTATTATGTTTTTTTAATGTTCTTATAATAAATAATATTATATTAATCTTATAAAAATGTTTTTATAACATTATTTTTAAACAATTTTATCTAAGGAAAATATTTAGTTAATAAATGTAAATACATTTATTAGATAGACTTTTTTTTTTAAGTGTTTATTGATATTAAGTAGGAGACTTTTACTGTATTAGAGCTGCAATGACAATCCATTTAAATAAATGATATTTTTCAGATAAAATCTTTAAAAAGTCTCAATAAGTAATATAGAATCAGATTTCGAGGGTTGTAAGCAAATTATTTTGATTGGTCTAATTGAATATCACGTAATAATAATTGTAAAATTTACGACGTAGCCTGGAGCTGAGACTAAGAGATGAATTCCCATGACGAAAATAATTCTGTGTTTATGATTCAATTTGGGAAGGTAGTAACATTTCTTCTTATGTATAACTTTATACGAATACTGAGTATACCAATAAATGTTCCCACTAATCAGATTAATATTAAACATATGCTTAGAAAAATGTTTAAAACTTTTTTTTGACAAGTTTGAAAAATATATTAATTGTATAACGTTAGACATTTTTGGTAATACAGAGTTTACGATGAAATAAAAAATTTTAGTATCAGCATACGAACGTCATCAGGAGGTAACATTATTGTTTGGATTATTTAATCGAATTGTGCTGATGGCTATTTGATAAATTCAACGAGATCCGCTAAACACCTTTGAGAGATGACAAATGGACGTACAATCGTTTACATTAGCAAATAATGTATGCGATCATATTATTAATTTACAATATTAGATAGTGATTTTCGTTAGAAAATGTAGTAATCGGCCTAGAATATTTATTAAATGCATAAACTATTGATAAGATACGGTGTCCATCCCGCTGTTTGTCAAAATGATCAGCTAATTATAATTTAATTTGTGTTTTCTGTCCGATTAACGAAAAATTTTATGTCAGTCAGATTTTGGTCTTATAACTTTAGGTGTCACTATAGTATCTGTTATGATGCACTACCATTAATGCAATGCAATCGCACGTCGCAACGGTACTTGCAAAGATACCTAACCACAATCGTGCCTTGGTACCATACTATATAAAAAGATAATAAAACTACGACTGTGATGGTCATAAAATGTCTTAATATTTCAGCATCATATGCTGGTCATCTTTTCAAGACACCTGAGCATATGATCAAATACATTAGTCCTAATGAATTCCCGGTACTAGATTTTGATATTTATCACAAAATATCTTTATTGAAGTGCTACGAAAGTACTATCCAGATTTTTATCAAAAGATTTTTTACACGAGGGTGTAGCCAAAGTGGATGGATTCAATTTCTAAATTGAAAAAAGATAACTTGTTGAAGATACAGTACGGAAGAGGTATTAAACTTCTTTTCCTATAAGAAAATCTGAGGGCGTCACATTGTGAATATTATTTTGAGTAATAAACATTTATTGGCTCCATTTTTTCGTAGATTGTAAAAAATAACTGTTTTGTTTGTAGATAGATTCGGCTATGTGTAGATTAGTAAAAAAATATTTTTAATGTAACTTTAATTAAAATTGTTATACTTTTAAGTTATTTAAAATTATTATGATAATAGTAAATACAGAGTAATCGGTTTACTCAATCACTCTCGAAATAAATACAATATTGAAAAAAATTTTTGCTCTTTTTAGTTACATAGATTTATTGATTTATTATCTAATAATTAATTTTTAGTATAATACTTTTTAATTTAAATGGGTGTTAACTTTATTTTTTTAAATAGCAACATAAATATTTAACTATTTAACCATATAAAATAGGAAATAATCTAATTAAGAAAATAACTTGTCGATAACAAACTTTGGACCAGTGTTCCAGAAGTTACTAACAATTTAAAGCTACGAATGGTGGTGAGGAGTGGGTGCTGCTATTTTTATAACTAACCATTTCCTCCTGGTCGTACTCTTCGTCCGACTTAGATATAAAAATGAGAATAACTTTTGAAATTCTGGTCCAAAAGTTGTTATCGAGGTTAACTCATTTTCTTAATTAGATATTTTCTTATTTTATAATGTATGTTATCGTTTAAAAAAATAGAGTTTACATCCTTTTAATTTATAAGAGATGATTTGAAAAAGTAATATTTAGCTGATAAAAAAATTTGCTATTTTTTCAATATTGTATTTATTTTGAGGGTAATGGAGTGGTTTCACGCTGTATACTTTAATATCAAATACATTAATAATAAAAATAAAAACTGATTTATAATAAACTGTTGAAGTAAAAGTAAAAGTATATACTAAATTAAATTATGTATTATTAGGTAATATATAATAATTCGTAAAACTTGGTCCTTAAAACACTAACTTCACCAAGTCGAATTCACCGGACTTTGATTATATTTGAAAATCTCATACACATGAGAATTTGTCAATGAGGAAATCGGATCAAAAGGAGGGAGGGGCACGTCTTGTAGAAAAAAGCAAGCAGTTTTCGCTATCGACTCGAGCAGATGTCGATTTCCCAGCTCATACAAACACTACTACGACACAAGCCGTATGCTTCTTCTCTTAGTGTCGCCATCTTTTCAGAATTCTTATCACGTATTCAGTCTGTCACACGCGTTAAAAGTATTATACTATATCGTCGTCTACACGCCACATACCTATCACCGCCAACACACTTAGCACAATCCCTTTGACTATTCTCTGTGTATGTATAATACATTATAAGACTGATTGCATTCAAAGCTCGTATACCACCCTCGGCGATATTGTAACCGAATAATATTATGCATGCATAATATAGTATATAATACTCAACGAATTTTTTTTTATACTTTATTTGACAGTATACAATGATATTATACTTGTACATAAACGCAAAGGACGTCACACAACTGCGGGTACTCAGATTTTTTTTCAGAAAAAAGTTATTGGGTTAATTGTACATTAAAAAATATAAATCCTTTTAATTTTTATGACATCTCAAACTAAACATAATAAATAATGACATCTGCGAAATCCACAATTCATTTGTGAATCTACAATCCATCAGAATATAATTTGATATTTGTTATACTAGATTGGATTAAATAACCGCAATACACGCATAACATAAATAATACATAGTATATTTGTCTATCAATAACATAAATTGTAACCACAAACAACATAATTATGCATTTCTTCGAAACAAATTACTACATCAAAAAGATTACTTTATGTAACCAAAAAAAAGTTCCTAAAATTTATTCTGAATGCATTTTTATTTTAGTTTAAAAATATTGAATTTAGTATGTCATGAATTATTGAAATTATAACTAATTAAATTTAACCAATTTCCATAATTTTTACTTTAAAAACATTTAGTTAAGACTGACTTAAAAGCTTATAATTTTATTTTAAAAATCTTAACAGTCATAGTTGGAAATATTAATTAGGAAAATTAATGTGAGTAATAAAAATTCTTACCTTTCAACTAGCTGAATTGTAAACTTCTTCAGTTATTAATCTATAAAAACAAAATAAAAAGTAATTAAATTCAATATTGTAAACCTATAATTATTGTTATTTTGGACATTAAAATTTTAACTGTCTTATAGAGTTCATATTTTTAAAAACAAAAACTAATAGAAAAAAACATTGGTTTTTGAGTTTTTTCTTCTTGTTAGAATAAACATTACCAATAAATGAACACCGCTTAGTTTTTGACTAAAAAATTATTTAATCTAATTGTAACACATTATTGTTGGTGGTTTTTATTATAAAGAAAATATTTAAATTTATCCCATCTTCCATATAACAATTTTTAGTACAAAATTATTAACTGATATTGTTCATTAACTAAACAATTCGAATTTTCAACATAAAATAATGAATTTATTTTAAAATTAAAATTACATTAAAAATATTAATTAAAATCTAAACAATTTTTTTCTCAATAAGCCACAAAAATTACTAAAATAATAATAATAACATATTTTGGGAACCATTATCAACGCTAAACACAAACCGAAGCTTTTGGAAGGGTTATAGATATTTTTACATTTTATTATAGAGATATCTATTCAGTGTAAAAACATTTATTATCTTTATTAGTGTGACATCGAAATATTAACTAATATGGAACTTTAAAAAATGAAAAGCTTTTTATAGTTCATTTACTGAAAAAGTTACCCTACGAAGTGTTTTTATAGTTCTTGAAGTTTCTCTTTATATTTATTTTGTAAAGATAAAATTAAATACATTAATGATCTTAAAATAATTAAAAGTATATTTACAATGTTCATACATGTATACATTTCCCGGTAGAATAACTAAGTTAATATCAAATATAATGGTTGTAGCTTCCTGTGTTTATATGATGTTTAACAGTAAGAATTTATTGATACAAATATCGTGAACGTTAAAATTTATGCATTATATTACCTAGCTTTCTTAAAGTCTGAACATCATGTTTAAAATTTGAAAAATTTAATATAACAATTTTATTTGCTGAAATCAGATAATTAAAAATAATATTTAACTTCTAGCTGGATATTGATTTTAATTCAAACGCAATGAAAGTAAATTAATTTTAATATTAAGATAAAAATATTGAGTTTTCTATAAGTATCAACGGGGGGTAATTATGAAGACTCTTAGGCGATCTGAAGAGATGTTACTCAAAATAAAGTAGCTGTTTATTAGTGATACGACTATAGCAACAATACTTATTGGATTTTTGTGAAAACCTAAAGGTATTCTTTATATCTATTAGATAAACTAAAGTTCAATAGAAAATCAAAGTAAACTACTGTTTCATGTTATTCTTTATTTTAAATTTCCCTCTATTGTTATAAAATAAAATATACTTAAATTTATATTTTTTATAAATATTTTATTTAAATAAAAATTGGTGGGACACGGTTTTATAATAAAATATATAATTTAAATTACACATTAATAATAAGTATGGATGACTTTTATTATGGTCGCTTTCCGGGGGCAATGACTAAGCCGAAATAGTATATCATTTAAATTTTCTCTAAATTTACAACTACAGTAAGTAATAACTTGATCTCCCTTTTTACAGTATAACCAAAGCTACAGGTCTGTTCGCTATTATTAAAATAGTTAACTAAATTACATGAATATAAGGGTATGCCACAAAGCAGTCACGCAACCATCCTATAACAGTAATTTCTATGAATACTAATTGCTTTTGAAACAAGAGGTTGATGAGAGCTTGGTGAACACATAAGGTAGGAGGAGAACCATTATTTTCGTTTTTACTTCAAGCTTACATATATGCTGAAAAGTGAAGCGAGTCGAATAATAAGTTGGATAATTTCTAACAGAATTCTCAAGTTCGCATTAACATCCTTTAACGCGAGCTTTTCATAATTCAATATTACTCAATTATTCTTTGATATGTCAAGTTCCGAAATTCAGAGTTCTCACCTATTTAAATTATATATTATATAAAAGTGGTTTTTAATAGTACAGATGCAGTTTAAAAATTATTGATGGTTATTTAAAATAAAAATTTTATCAAATATATTAATTTAAACTAAAAAATATTAAAAATAATTATTCCAAAAAGCCACAAAAATGATTTAAAAAAATTTTTAAATGTTACAATCATCAGCGTTAAACACATACTGGTATTTCGACCGAAAAATACTCCTTTATCTAGTGACCTTATCACCTAGTGACATTATCACTTAATGATGTTATTTTATCTAGTCTGTTGTAACATTCTATCAGTTTACGTAAGTTTAATAATAAATTTTGTAGTTGGACAAAATTTCAATAATTAAATTACTCTTATTTTTAAACGAATCTATTGCCTTACTTATAATAAATTCATTGTAATTATTTACGTTTTAAATTATTTTTACAACTTAAATAGAGTGTGTCAAAAAATGTTAAGCCACAGGAAATTTACTAACTTCTTGATTGTTAAATATTTCATGATATTTTAGTACTTTTGCTAACTTTTTAAGTTAAATATTTTAGTTAACCACTACTGATCAACTTTTATTATATGTTGATTATTTCTTTAATAAATTTTTTTTTAATCACTTTTTATAAGTGATTTAATAAAAGAATTACCTTTACTAAAATATCGAAAATTATGCTAATTATGATACTTAAAATATCGAAATTTCTTTAAGTAAAGGTTTAATTTGATATATTTTAATTTTCAAGTAGAAATTAAATAATTTCAATTTTTAAATAATAAATTTGACATAATAATGAATTAAATGAGTAAATTATTCTCAATCAATTAATTTCAAATACTACCAATTCGTTATTTAAATATTCTCTTTGGGTTTTTAAGAAGTTTGGCATGATTTTTAATGCATCATTCAAAATTATCATCTGTAAAGTTATTTTTAAATTTCCTTCCGTACAGCAGCAATAAATCAATAATTCAAAAACAACCATGACATATACAACCTTCATAGTATCCTCTGGGATTTGACCAATTTGGATTAAACTTAGTATGAACTTCCTGCAGTAAGCAGGAAACTTATTCACCCCGTTTTGATGATAATCGATTTATCTTTTGGTCGATAGCTCACAAAACTAATAAATAAAACAAAAAACGATTCGTTTTGCTAAAATAATACGGATTATGTTTTTCACTTAAAATGGAACCTATTAGAGCACAAATAATTCGCCGTTCGATGCACTTAGGTTCCCTGGACATTGCAGGTGACGTTTGGCTTTTAACGAACTATACTAAATTTATAAACAAAAATGTTTTCGCTATTCCTCGCCTACCAACTTTACAATTATAACAATATATATTTTCCCAGTATCCGTCAAACCACCAACCTTGATAAATATAAATATTTTCAACATTTATAGACTTAGAATTTTCCTGGTGTTAGAACTATTAAGTCGATAAAAGACGAGGATGAGGAAGTGAGCGTAAATTCATACAAGCTCCGACTCGATGGAAACAGTTTATTTTTCCACGAAAGTAAAGTGAGACTGATCCAATATTTTAAATAAAAAACTTTTCATATTTTTAAAAGTAGATTCCTATAGCTCATGAATGAATTTTCATTCCACACTTTCATTTGCCAAATGTTCTAATATCTCATATATCTACATGTTCTGTAAGAAAAAACTGGTATACTTTCATTAATGATCTATTTTCCCTCACAAAAGTGGTAGTATTATTTGACTACAAAATCCTAATTTTACTTTTCACAAAAAACATAGTCAAAGCCAGTAAGAAATCTTGAGTATGAAGTCCGTTCATTAACTCTAAATCTATGGCCTACAAATGAACACTCTATCCTTTCACTAGCGGAGCATTTCTTCGTAGCTACTTTTCAAACCAGTAAAGTCAATACCACTTGCCAAAAATTCTCAGATATTGTCGATCATATGAATGACTATAACATCATAGGTTTTCGTCGAAACTACAATACAGATGCATAAATAATTTTTTGAATAACATTTATTATATTTAAGACCAATAACGATGACGTATAAAAGCTAGTACAGCTTATGGGCCTCCTGTAACAACCTTACAAGTTACTGTGGCAGTAATAACTTTGTGTATTCGCCTTGAATCAGAATAATAAAAGATTGTCGCTGAAACACGTATATAATAGTGGCTATTTTTATCCGTTCGACAACTCTAAAAAATCCGTTTTTATCTGAAAATGACTGTAAACAACGAAGATTGCTATTACGCATCACACGCAGACTAACTGGAAGAGATAAACTGTTTGCTGCTTCTACCTGTATATATTTATTTTTAGAAAATACAATAAACCAATTTCGACCTATTGTAACTTAGTAGATAAAAAAGGACACGTAATTTATTAGATTCTTACAGTTTTCGCCTCTTTTGTAGATCTTAAACGATAAGTGCTAATTCGTCAAAACAAATTAAATGATGAACAAACGTTTTAATAACGGCATATGATTATCTTCAACTTGAGTTAATCTCTTTAATTAATCTCTTTCTTGCATCAAAAAATCTTTTTACATTTCACCAAAGATAATATTAGCAAATTGAATCGCCTTAGTACCAAGAGATATTATAATGATAGGATTTTGTTTAGTTCGTACAAGAGACCATTCATTTACACTACTAAGGCTCTAAATCTCCTCTACTATATTTGTTACAAATATTATTCACCGACTTGATGACGAAGAGATCTATGCTATAACTATGCTGGAGTCAAACCGAAAAAACTTTTTAATTTTTGTATGCATTTTGAACAAGCTGCAAAAAAAATGTCATGTTGTTGTTGCTTTCAATGGTCATTTCTTGGACTTTGTTTCAAAACGAACTCTTCGGTTCCTATTACCGCACAGTTACCCACTATTAATTGTCTATTATATATATGTATATGGTCCGTACAACGTATGGAGCATGTACATTGACGTTATAATAAGTTACACTTTATTTTTAGTAATATGCATGTACTTTATTCTCAGCTTTTGCTTAATTCACAGAATATATGTTACTTTTGAACATTTCCCATTCTCCTTTATCTT